AGCTGCTGCAGCTGCTGCTGCAGCTGCTGCTGCAGCAGGACAGACAAGAAGTGTTGCTGCTGCTGCTGCTGCTGCTGCTGCTGCTGCAGCAGAGACAAGAGTCGCTGCTGCTATAAAACAAACAAAACCTGGTGCTGCACCCAGGCAACCATGCTGCTGCTGCTGCTGCAGCAGCAGCAAAAAGAAGAAACACCCAGAAGCAGAACCAGGAGCAACAAATTAACAGCAACAGCAGCAACAGCAGCAACAGCAGCAGCAACTACTACAGCAACAGCAACAGCAGCAGCAGCAGCAGCAGCAGCACGAGTTGCATGCGCTGCTGAACACTCGGGGGGTATCAGCCACAAAGAATTAGTTTTCTTTCACTGTGCTGCTGCTTCTGCTGCTGCTGCTGGTGCTGCTGCTGCTGCTGCGTCTGCTGCTGCTGCTGGTGCTGGTGCTTCCGCTGCTCGTGGTGCTTCCGCTGCTGGTGCTGCTGCTGCTGCCGTTGCAGCGGGTGGGGCCGCAGGTTCCGCTGCTGCTGCTGCGCGGGGCGCTGCTGCTGCTGCAGTGGCTGCAGAGAAATCTGGTGCAGCAGCAGCAGCAGCAGCAGCTGCTGCTGCTGCTGCAGCTGCTGCTGCTGCTGCTGCAGCGTCGCGTGCTACTGCTGCCGTACGAGGCCGCTGTTCTGCTGCTGCTGCTGCAGCCGGTGGTGCTCGTGCTGCTGTTGTTGCTGCAGTTGCTGCAGTTGCTGCTGCAGTTGCTGCTGGTAGGGGCCATCTGCTGTTTATGTTTTGTCTTTGTTGCTGCTGCATTTGCTGCTGCCTGCCTCTTTGTGTATCTCTGCGTCTGAATGAGCTGCTGCTGTTTCTTTTTTGCTGCTGACGTCTCCTGTGCTGCTGCTGCTGCTGCTGCTGCTGCGGCTGCTGCTGTCGCCGGAAATGCTGCTGCTGCTGCTGCTGCTGCTGCTGCTGCAGTTGCTGCTTGTTTTTCTGAGAGAGAGGTCTTGCTCTCCAGTTGGATTTATGCTGCTGCTGCTGCTGCTGCTGCTGCTGCTGCTGCTGCTGCGGCTGCTGCAGCTGAAAGAAAGTAAGAACGAGGGACTGCCACTTCGCCCCTATATTAATTCCTCTGTCTGTTGCTGCTGCTGCATGTGTATATTTGTATTTAATGTGAATCTGCCTACAGAAGCAAGCAGCGGCAGC